TTGTGAATTGAGTTGCTAGAAACATTTTTGTGGCTGAGTCACTGTAGTGTGCTGATCTTTAAGTCCTTTGGCTATAAATCGAGAAGTGGCATAGCTGGGTCAAATGGTGGTTCCATTTCAAGTTTTCTAAGGAATCTCCATACTGCTTTCCAGAGTGGTTGCACCAATCTGCAGTCCCACCAACAATGGGTGAGTGCCGGGTTTCTGTTCTCTCGACTAAAAGGCTCAGGAGTCACTCTAGTTAAACTGGGCGAACTGGGCTGCATGAAATAACCACACAAGAAACACAAATACCTTTTTCTTTGGGGTTGCTGTGATGGCTCCTCTGACCTTAGGAGTCCACAGCCTTTGACCTCTGGGCCACACAACAGACCAGATGCGAGTGGCTTGAGATTGGCAGGAGATTACCTACTGGCTGAGGAAGAAATATAGGTGGAGAGTTCAACAGCTCAGATGGTTGCATCCAAATGGATGGCGATAGACAAGAGTTAAGAATGCAGCCAACAACACAAGAGAACTGGCACTTGTTCCTACTAGAAGGGCATCCAAGTGTGGGTCCCCATCATGCTGATGGGAGATGGTTTTCAACTCTTGGTAGATTTAAAACCTTCACTGGTGTGGCGGGTGTTGTGCTGTTCACCTGTTCATTGCTCCCGTGTTTGGCTCCACGGTGCATTGAAACTATGGGGTCCACTGAAGAAGCTGCTGTGGAAAGGATGACATCAACTAAGGTTCTGGCCTTCTAGAAGGCTTTAAGCCAAGATAATGGTAATGATGCTCTTCAGTTTAAAGGATTAAATGATGGGGAGCATCATTAAAGGGGGAATTGAGCTCTCCCCTCCCCAGGGGACACATAGATGACATTCACATACGTACCTGATAACATCAGATGATGTCAGACACATACTCATTACTTCAGATATCATCAACATGTTCCTCGGGACCCACTAACCCTCCATCTGACGCTGAAACAAATCTCATCAACATCATTTCATCAGCAAAAAGTCAGCGTGTTCCTAGCTCGTGTCGGACGTGTCTGGGAGGACAGTCTCTGATCCCAGCGACTTGACTGAGGCAGCAGGATCACCAGTTCCAGTCCAGACTGGGACATGTCAAAATCAATGAAAAAATACTTCACGGCCTGGGGACATCACTCCGTGATAGAGCACTTGCCTAGCCTGTGTGAAGCCCTGGGTTCTGGCAGCCACAGGAAGAGATGTCTGTTCAGAGCCAACAGGAAGTAAGTGGCCACTGGTGGCCCAAACCAAACCAAACCATAAATAACACTCGCTGGGTGGCTGAGGGGACATCTAGGTGGCCACAGGGGTCTCCCAGGGAGGTGCACCACGGGAGTGCTGGGCAGCACTGTGGCCAAAGGCTCTGTCAGCTCCAGGTGACCTGGGGGAATCTTTAACAGGTGACACCTACATCAGTGGGTCAGTGTAAGTGGCTCAGAGGTAGAGCGCTTGCCCAGCACGTGGGAGGCGCTGGGTTCCATCCTCAGCACCACATACAAATGAACAAAATGAAGGTCCATTGACAACTAAAAATTAATAAAAAAAGACTCCCAAAACCTTTTCAAGTGATTATACCCTCAAGAGTTTTTCTAAGTTAAATTAGATGTTATTCATGGACGACCCAGGTCATTTCTAAATGCAGCGACATCATCAGTACTCAACACAGGTTTAAGCTTATTTACCTTTGGTTTCTTAAATCTCATGTAGAAATAAAACACATTTGGATCCTCAGTAAGTATGTCCTGGGTATCACTGAAAAGACTCTCCTATGAGTAGACACACATTTTTAGGAATTACACAGTGTGTATTTATAAATCGGACTGGTTCAAACTGCTCACCTCCTAGGTTTTAACTAGAACTTATAGCGACTAAACTTAGAAATCCTACTTAATAGAATTAAAATTGCTAGCAATAAAAGAATTCTATATGCAAAGTGTACAAAGAAAGCAGGAAGTATTTTTCATGAAAAACCATTAAAAACAAAATGTATTTTGGTTGAAAGAGAATCATAAGAGTGAATAAAAAATTAGGTAAGATTGATGGGTTTTTAAAAAGGTCTTTATAAAATTATGAAAATCTCGAGTGGTCAGAGCCAACACTGATGGATTCATTTATAAGGTTTTATTAAAATTAACTTTTGTGCCGGCACCGTGGTGCACGCCCGTAATCCCAGTAGCTCAGGAGGCTGAGGCGGGAGGATTACAAATTCAAGGCCAGCCTCAACAACTTACCAAGGTCTTAAGCAACTTAGCAGGTCCCTGTTTCAAAATAAAAATAAAATAAAATAAAAGGGCTGTGGATGTGGCTCAGTGGTCAAGTGTCTCTGTTCAATCCCCAATACCAAAAAAATTCACTTTTTTTATCAACTATACACTGATCCCTGTGATCCTATTTCAATAAAGCATTTAAATTTTTGTTTTAACCACAAACTAACGTTTGAACACTTCAGAAGGCTTATTTGATATGCTAAAATCATGTGGGAAACATCATCCAATAAGAAATGATATTCAAATTTGAGTTCCATTTGTCAGGTTAGTAATGTACATTACAAAACTGCATGTTATCCGTCAAATTGTTGTTTGCCACAGAAATAACCAAAATTTCCAGTCATCCTTATTATTCAAACTCTCATCAGACCTTTATATCATGGTCATTTGAGGGTTTTTCTGTTAGTTTTTTTCAAGACAGTCTATGTTGCCAAGCTGGCCTCCAGCGGTTGGTCCTCTGCCTCAGCCTCCTGAGTAGCGAGGACCACCGTGCCCAGTTCTGAAGTCTTCTTGCTTTCGCTAAAACTTCTTTGCAAACAACATAACCCTAGAGTGTCATGTCTCTAAGAAGTTTCATGGAAAAGCTGCACAACTCTCATCAAACAGGCTTCTGATAACGTGAGACCCTCCAAATGGCGTGGACTGAAATTTCCAGAATCTTAATGGAAAAGCTGGACTCATAAAATCACAACATTGACATCAAGCAAAACAGGAATCAATGACACAGGACCCGGCTGATGACAGATGATGGTGTGGGACTGCTTGTTCGAAGCAGTGGTGAAGGCAAGGCCCATGTGGCAAAGAACTGAGGCCTCTGGCCTTCAGCCAGTGGGGAACACTGACCCTGGATCCAACGACCTACAAAGACAACCCACCGAATCCCACCCCCAAATCCCTTGGGTGATTCTGAATGGCCTGGCGAGCCGGAGTTGCCCACAAGGATGACCACTTCATCTGACCCGGCCAGGCAGGCCAGGGAGGCAGGGAGGCCCGGAGGCCAGAGAGGCCAAGGAGGCCAGAGGCTTTGGTTTCCTCTTTCCACGTGGGAGGGAGCATCCCCCACTCAGGGGCTACTGCGATGTCTGGAGGAAGACCAGGAGCTGGCTTTGAACTCACGGTAGAAAATTTTTAACACACTCAACCCGGTTTGTCAGGATCTTTAAAAGAGGAATTTCAACTGCAATTTCCCAAAATTCCTATTTCCTTATATCCAAAGTATGCCCAACTTGTGAAAAGAAGAGACACGCTCAGACGCAGGTAGGAATCACATTTCCTTTTAATTGAGCACTTCATTCACACCATGTCCTCTCTTGGCCACAGTTAGGTCCCGACGTGTCAAGAAGACCGCAGCGGACCAGAGTGAGAGCCAGTGTGAGCAGGCCGACCAGGGCTCCGGGCAGCACAACCAGCMAAAGGTTGGGAAGGCACATCCAAGTCTGCACCTTCTAACTGTGGGGAACCTCAACGCCAACACGGAAACCAAAATCCATCAGGAATGAAGTCCGTCCTCACGCACCCAAAGGCAGACAGACGGTTGGAGAAATCCAGCCCTGACCATCTGGCCTCTGCTACSAGGGATGGCTCCACGCCGGCATTTTTATAGAAAGAGGTTTTTTTTGGTTTTTATTTCATTTCCCAAAGAGGAGTAAGATCTACTAACAGGGACAGAATGGATCAGATCACATCAGCTCACTCACAGGGACATTCYGGGGTGGTGACCTGGGGCTGCTGAGAAGGTTCAGCACAGTGTGTGACAGTGGGAAAGCTCAGGGCAACGTGACAGAGCAGTCACCTACCTGGGACCCCATGGTGTCAGGGGGCCAGGTCACCCGGATCAGACAGGAGTCATTTTGTACATTACAGTGCACACAGCARGACAGGAAAGACACTTTCTGAGGGTGGGTGACTCAAAGGCTCTCTGCACAAGGTCCACGTCACCCTGCAGACAAAAAGCTGGAACCCGGGGCCTCAGGGCCTGCATTAGCTGGAGTCCACCCCGTCTTTGGTCACAGTGGCCTCGTGGGGAGCTGCTGGCTCTCCGAGTTCCGCTGCCTTCTCCTTCTCCTTCTCCTCCTCCTCCTCCTCGTCCTCCTGGGGATAGAGATCCGGGTACTTCTGCATGCATTCCTGCATGGCCCGGAACTGGTCCACACAGTCCGAGCCCTTGATGTCCTGTGTGCTATAGTGGAAGCAGGAGAARGCCGATTTGAACTGTTCCCCACAGGGGCCGCTGGCCATGCCCCCCAGGCACGGGCAGTTCCAGTTAATGTCTCCGTTTGGCAGTATCAACCCTGCAACAGGAAGTCGACAGGAAGACGTGAGAGGTCCCCTAGGGTCTTAGAAAGTGCCATGTCAGCCACCCCCCAGGCCTGGCAGGCGCTCCCCTGGGCACCCACCTTTGGATCTGGATCAAGCCCAAATGCTTAGCACGAGTCCAGAGTTCCCTGGTTCAGCTGGACAGAGTGACCATGGATCCCTCTCCACGGGCAACGCTCATCTCTATTCTAAAACCTCCCAGCACAGGAGGCCACACTCCAAGAATTAAATATTGCAAACCGTTTCATCCAAAGGAGTGAGCACTTAGGTGGTGAATGAGGTCACTGGAAGGGCGGGGTGGTGCACACCTGTCATCCCAGCAACTGGGGAGGCTGAGGCAGGAGGATCACAAGGTCGAGGCCAGCCTCAGCAACTTAGTGGGGCCCTGAGCAATTTAGCAAGACCCTGTCTCAAAGTAACAGGAGCTGGGGATGGGCTCCGTGGCAGAGCACCCCCTGGTCCTCGGGTACTAAGGACTGAACCCAGAGGCACTCAACAACTAAGCTACCTCCCCAGCCCTTTTGACACCATTTCTGGGTTTCACGGGCTCCAAGTCAGGACTGTGGCCAGAGCCCAGTGTGACCCCATCTCCCCATTTCTCCCCACTTCTCAGGGACCTGGGGGCTGAACAGGTACAAATGCTGCCCCCTGGAGGCTCAGTCTGGTAAGACACCTGCGCCCAGTCGTCCCTGAGAGCGAGTTTGGTGACATTAAGGATCGCAGCCAGGCCTGCAGATGCTCCTGTCCTTAGAGGGGGGCAGCAGGACAGGGCAGGGGCTCACAGCCGGGGGGACATGTTTAAACCCCCCCAGGAGAGCCCAGAAAGCCTGGCCCGTGGCCTCCCGAGTCTTCATGGATCAACAAAATCTGCTCAACTCGTTTGGAACTAAAGGCAGACACACAGCACTGGAGGTGACAGAGCTCCGACTCAAGTTATCCCTGTGGCTGTCCTCCCTCCTCAGGACACGGACACTCTGCGTGAGAGCTGTCCCTGCCACTGTCCCCGACAGGGTGCCACACAGACATCCTGAGCTTTAATCTGGGAAACGGAGTTTCCCGCCCAGCACTATCTACACTTGTGACAGCAACTGAACCCCTCCCACCAGGACGCCCCACTCCAGGGCCAGCTGCCAGCTCTTGGGTCCTTTGTCACCGATTCACACCACCAGTCGTGTCAGGGCTCAGTATGAACGTCAGAAAGGGTTTGGGCCTTTTATTGTTGTTATTTTCAGGAGTGGGTTTTGGTGGGCAAACTGGGCACTACTGACTGGTGAACTGGCTTAGTTTCCTCCAAGTCCAACACCCAAAGCCTTGGAGTGGACCCAGCTGGCACACGCCTGTCATCCCAGCAGCTGGGGAGGCTGAGGCAGGAGGATCACAAGTTGGAGGCCAGCCTCAGCAACAGTGAGGCCCTGAGCCCCTCAGTGAGACCCTGTCTCTAAATAAAATACAAAATAGGGCTGGGGACGGGGCTCGGTGGTCAAACACCCCTGGGCTCAATCCCTGGTACCAAAAAAAAAGAGTGACATCCTAGCATCCTAGGCCCAGTCATCCCTGTCCATGGCTCTGACGGGTGAGCTGGATCCTGCTGCTGGAAGCTGCCCTCTGTAAGTGACCCTTCCACGCCAGGTGCTTGCTGGAGCACTTCACAGGGGACAGCAGGGATTGCAGCAGCCTCACAGGACGATTCCCACAACGGCTTGCTGATAAGGGTGGCAGAGGTGGCAGAACGCAATCTGGTCACTCGACAGAGCACACAGATCCCCGTCACCCCTCTCTACCTACAACTGCTGGAATCCGACGTCCTCCCCTGAGACGTCATCCCCGTGGAGCGTCATCCCCGTGGAGCATCGGCCACCGAGGCCACAGCCACACCCCAGGAGGGCAGAGGCAGGACGCGCTGCCTGCAAGGCCGACCCGGAGGCGCCTGTGGGTGGCCGAAGGCCCCCATCACTCACCGTGTTCCTCGTATGGATCGTTGGGGTCATCGGCCACCAACTCTGCATTACTGGGAGTTTCGTGGTCTTCTTTGGTCACAAATATGATGCGATCTTTCCCTGGTGTTTGGACACAACAGGAGGAAAACGTCTCACTCAAGAGCAGCGACTGCACTGGGTGCCCCAAAGAGCCACTCAGACCCCCGCCGGGGACCTTCAACCTGGGGCGCATCACTCACTCTGGGCATGATCCAGCAGCCACTCGAACCAAGACCAGGAGCGCGACACAGTCCCACTGGGATGGGGGCGCAGGGAGACACACCCCACCTCGCAAATCCAGGGGACACAGGCCCCAGCCCAGGCAGATGTGACGGTGCCAGTCTCCAACAGTCACCAGCACAAGCCTCCCTGGCCACCAAGAAGGAGCGCAGCCCAGGACCCCCAGGAACCCAGACGGGACAGCGCCTGTGAACCCCAGGGCTCCGTCCAGTGTCCCCCAACCTCGGCCACGCCCCCACCCACCCTGCTGGCCCACAGCGCCAGAGAAGCCACCTGATGGGAAAGGGCACCTGAACCTGCCACCGAAGGCTGACACACGGTGGCCTGAGCCCACCAGGGTCAAGACGCTGTGGCCTATTTCCCAGCAAGCGCAGTGCTGGGGACAGGAGGGATCCAGAGGGCTGGAGTGTTGACGTCAGTGGCCAGCACGGGAGCCAGGCTTCGACCCTCATCCAGGGTCGCAGTCCCGGGCTGGCTCTGATGCTGGGGTCCCCAGGCCTCCAGCCAAGCCAGGGCCACCTCACACTGCGACCTTCTCCTAACGGAGGGCGGTGAGCACAGAGGGGACAGAGACAGCCAGCCTCCAGTGACCCTGATACAGCACAGCGTCACCAGCACCCGACCCACTGAGGACAGGGGAAATCCCAGGCCCAGAGGGAGGTGACAGCTCGAGATGACCAGGGGACACCCACTGTGACCCCAGCAGGGATGGCAGCCATTTCCCCTGTGCGTGGGAGCACCTTGTCCTCAGCGCTGCCTGGTGGGTCATCCATGGCCCCACAGTCCCCGAGGGCAGGCCGGCTTGGTCCATTTCTGGTCCTGGGCGTCAGCTGGTCTCTCCACCCACCCCACCCTGAGAGGGGGACAGCAGCACCCTGTCCTGGTCGCGCACGGCCTGGCCTCGCTGAGTTTCTGTCCTGTCCTGGTCTTGTCTTGGGGGACAGGAGGGTCTTCAGGTGGGCTGGCTGGACCTGGCCAGACCAAGGTGGCTGCCAGTGAGGCCGGACGACCTCCAGCTTTATTCTAATCCATGAACACCCCCTGTTAACCTGGCCCCCTCATTCCTTTAGCCCTCTATCTGCAACCTCCTCCCACAGGGTGCAACACACGGGACGGTTGACTTCCCTCTTGTCCTACTTCCCCCAGAATAAAAGTCTCCTTTGGCTGGAGCAGGGCACACACCTGTCACCCCAGCAGCTTAGGAGGCTGAGGCAGGAGGATCACAAGTTGGAGGCCAGCCTCAGCAACAGCGAGGCCCTCAGCAACTCAGGGAGACCCTGTCTCTAAATAAAGCCCAACATAGGGCTGGGGAGGGGGCTCGATGGTCAAGGGCCCCTGAGTTTAATCCCTGGTACCAAAAAAAAAATAAAAATAAAAGCCCCCTTTGCTCCCCAACTGGTTCCCCAGTTCTGAAAGAGAAAAGGACCCCTCTCAGGCTTACAGACTGCTACAACTTGATGGGGCTGACCTGAAGCTCTGGGTAGAGACCAGCTCAGGCTCCCAGGGCTGAGGGCTCCAAAGTCCATCAGACCCTGTCCAGACACCACGGTCCCCTCCCCCAGCAGGCCCCGTTGTCCTGAGGGCTGACCATGGCCTGGCACCACCGGGCACTGCCTGCCGGGGCTCTGAAGCCCAACCCCCGTCCCTGCCGAGAATGCAGTGAAAAGCCTGCTGAGTGAACAAGGAGGATCCTTCTAGAAACTTCTAGAAAAAGTACAAGGCCAAATTTTGCAGCCCTACTGACTACCCAGCAGATCGCAGGACAGCTGGGCTGAGGGGACCCTCAGTGGGGCCACAGGAGGTACACAGCGCTTTAAAGGCCTCCTCCAGGCTGGCGTGGTGGTGCTCGCTGTCAACCCAGCTGCTTGGGAGGCAGAGGCGAGGTGGTGGCCAGGTGGAGGCCAGCCTCAGTAGCTCAGACCCCGTCATAAAACAGAATTTTAAAAAAAATACAAAGTAGCTGGGGCCTCCTTCAGCCAGGCGTGGTGGCACAGGCCTGTGACCCAGGAGCCTCAGGACGGACAATCACAACTGGAGGCCAGCCTCAGCCTGAGCCACTCAGCAAGACCCCGTCTATAGGGCCAGGGCGTAGCTCAGCGGGACAGCACCCACCGGGGTCAATCCCAGTGCTGGGTGGGGGAATGCGTGTCCAGGGTACGTCCAGCAGTGCCCCTGGGCTGGGCCTGAGTCGGTCAGCCTCTGTAGGGACACGGGCCTGCCCAGCCTGCAGACAGGGGCTCTCTGGAGGGTGAAAGCCAGAGTCTGGTGACACGTGTATGAGGACAGTTCAGGGGACACAAGGACAGTCCACTGTGCTCTCCTCCCCACTCACACCTGTGCAGGGTCTCCAGGACCAGGTGAGCAGTGCCTGTGAGTCTCTCTGTGACATGGCCTGGGACCTGCACCAGCCTGGGTTTTGCCTGCAGACGCCGTCTGGGCCTCAACACCTCGCCTGTCCTTCTGCCCTGGGGCCCGGGGACGATGTGAACCTGGCCAGGCCATGTCAGCACACCCGGTAACCCTGGCGACGGCCGCCTGCAGCCGTGCTGCACAGGAGAGCGGATGCACACTTTGCAGCTGGGCTCTGGCAATTTTGTTGACCGAGATCTGATGCAGAGGCCCAAAAGGTCCAGACACGGTCACGTTCTGGAAGCATCTGTGGAGTCTGCAGTGCATACACAGGCCCCAGAAGCCAGACCTGGCTAAGTCAAGCTGCCTGGCATGTCCGTGCTTCTCAGGGGACAGGGACACACAGCAGGTGAGGGGTCACCAGCCCAGCCCAATGCACGGAGGACCCCTGTCCCTCCCCAAGGGCGAGGCTCCCTGCGCACCCCTGACACCCCGTCGCTCAGAGGGGGGACAGCTGATCCCTGCAGGCCTGCACCCTATGCAAAGTGCTCCTCCTCCAGGACGTCCCCTGTCCGCCCACCAACAGGGGCAGAGCGTCTTCGCCCAGAGAGGCTCAGCTAGCACGTGCCCAGGCCCAGGGACAGCGCTCGCCCAGCAGTGCCAGGCCCGAGGGGCAGCCTCAGCAGCAGCAAGAAGAGCACAACTAAAATGTGCTGCAAAGTCAGCCTGAGGACGGAGCTAGAGTCACAGATGGTCACTCGTCAGGTGACCAGCCAGGCCAGGGCTCCACGAGCTCTCCCGGCACCTCCCTGGAGAAATACAATATTCCAAGGCTCAAGTTCATTTCCAGGGTGAGAGGACCACACCGAACCAAAGAGGAATCCGAGGAATCCGTGACTCCAGGGCGTGGCTAAGCACGGGACACCCTGCAGGGCACAATGACATCGGCCATAAGGTGCTAGCTCTCAGGTTGGCGGGAGAAAAAAACGCTCAAAGAGATCAGAGGACAAAAAATAAGATGATTTTTGAAAATTTAGGATGGGGAAGTCACAAAGGGTCAAGGTCTCTTTTAATCCTTACCAGCTACCACCGGATTTCTCCACCACTTACCCAGGGGGCAGGTCAAGTTGAGTGGTCTCCCCCATGGGAGCTGATCTTACAGGACAAGGAGCCAGTCACAGGGGGAGGGAGGAAGGACAATAAACCCAGAGGGGAGAGCGGCCAGGCAGGGGGCAGAAGAGGCCGGAGGGACACGCAGCAAGTGGGAAAGGAAGGCTGTGGATAGGAAGGGGTTTAGATCATTTTCCTAAACCCCAGAATCAACGGATTTTTTAAAGGATCAAGAAAAACGTTAATCCCTAGTTGAGTTCTGATTCTCTCCACAGGTGTCTCAGGCACCCCCCAACCCCCTTCTCTGACCCCGAGAATGTGCCTGGTGACCTCTGCGGAATGAATGGAGCCCAGCCTCTCCACCTCCCAGGCTGGACTCAGGACTGGAGGAGGGGGTTAGGTGGCAGCTGCGGTGACCACAGGGCCTTAGCATAGAGGGGGATGCTTCTGAGCCACCGGGTACAGGTGGAAACAGAGAGGAAGTGAGGAGCCAGGACACTCTGAGAAGGGCCCAAGGATATTTCCTCCCAGCAGAGAGGTCCACACAGCGCTCCGGGTTGAACAATGCGGTTCTGGAACCCGATCGCCAGGTCTGGGAGTCCAGCTCTGTGGTTCTGCTCAAGCCACCTGTTTTAGTTTTACTGCTCCATAAAATCTGGGCGGTATAACAGAGCCGGAATGATCAAGGTCGCTGAGAGGTCAATGAGACCGGACGTATAAAGTGTAAATGGCGCCTGATATACAGCTGGAGCTCAATAAATGCTCCCACTGCTGCCACTACCCCAGCACTGCACGGTCTGGCCCACGAGGCAACTTTCCAGGACAGTTTAAAAAAAAAAAAAAAAAAAGCACGTGCAGCCCTGGCGCGATGGCAAGGAGGCTGGGGAGGCTGAGGCAGGAGGCCCGCGAGGTGGAGGCCAGCCTCAGCAATTTGTAGTGAGCAACTAAGCAGCTCAGGGCGACCCTGTCTCTAAATAAAATAGAAAAGGGGGCTGGGGTCGGGCTCAGGGGTGAGCACCCCCGGGTTCAGTCCCTGAACCGTGCCAACGGGACCACGTGGGTGCTCCCAGGGGACCCCCCACGTGCAGGCCCCTCTGGGGTCCGGGTTCGAGCGTCACCGTGACCTTGGGCCACCCCAAGTCCCCCCGGGGCTCGACCTGGTCGACTTTACTCCGGGGCTGGACGACCCCGCCGCCCCCGAGGGTCCCACGGGGGCATATGCGCGTCGCCTCGGTGGCCCGCGCCGGGGCCTGCGGGGCCTGCACCGCCCGCGCGTCGCCCCCGGGCCTCCCGGGCGGTCTCCATGGCAGCGCGCCTCCTACCTTCCTGCCGGCAGTAGGCCATGGCGGCGGGCCTGGCTCCTCGGCCCCTCGCGAGCGGCGGCGGCGGCGGCTCCTGCCCCTTCACGCCGTGACCTCGCTCTCCTCCTCGGGCAGGGCGGGCGGCTCTGAGGCCCGCGCGGACCCGCCCCCTCCAGGCCTGCCCGCAGCGCGCCTGCCTCCGCGCCTTCCCAGCCACAGCCCGGCCGCCTCAGCCAGGAACTACACTTCCCAGCAGGCCGCGCTCCCCCTCGGCAGCAGGAACTACATTTCCCAGAAAGCTTGCAGCGCGCAGGCGCACCGGTGAGGCACGGCGCGGGGCGAAACTTTTGTGGCGAAAGCGCCTGACCCTGGACTACAGTTTCCAGAAGGCCTTGCGGCGCGCAAGCGCAGGAAAGTTGGGTCCCCGCGGGGCGGTAACTCCGTAGCAAGTTCATCCCGGTCCTGGACTCCGCGCGGGTGTCTTTTTCTGCAGCTCTGCCACCGGCGGGAGGCCACCAGATTCCGCGCTCCGGTGGTCATTCCAGCTGAGCCGAGCGAGGCGGCGGCCGAGAGCCGGCTCCTACCATGGCCGCGAATGTGAGTGTCTCCGGGCCGCCCGGCCACACCCAGGCTGCCCCATCCCCCGGGCCGCCGCAGGTCCCCTCCGCGATCGGACGCCCGCTGTCCCCCTGCACGCCGCTGGCGGCGCCCCCCGTGCAGCGCCTGCGGCTCCTGGGTCCGCGCTGCCCGGTCCGCAGTCCTCGGACGACCCCATCCCCACTCGGGCCCCTCGGGAGGCCTCGCCCCCAAGCCCCGCTCCTGGACCTGGGTCCTGAGTGTCGTGGGATCTGGGAGCCAGGCGGGCCCTGGGGGCTAAGCCCGTCCATCGGGAGCGCGGGGAGGCCGGTCCCGCCGGTGGAGCTGTCCAGCGTGGGGACGGGGCCGTGCCCGCCGTCGGGGGTCCCCGCCGGCTGCAGGGGAGCTCGGCCTGGGGCGGGGCGCTGCCCCCTGTGCCCGTCCTCCTGCGCGCGATCGGGTAGGGACCGGGGTGACCGTGCCTCCTGGGCCCCCTGTGCCCGTCCTCCTGCGCGCGATCGGGTAGGGACCGGGGTGACCGTGCCTCCGGCCCCCTCCTCCCCGAGCCCCGTCCTCCTGGGCACTTTCCCTCCATTGGGCGCGGGCAGCACCGCCCACGGGGTGCGGCGAGGAGCCTTGACTCACCGCGCTCCTCGGAGAAAGTGCTTGGAGCCAGGCTGGGAGCCCGCCAGCCCCAGACACGCCCTCCCCGGCCTGTTGGGCTCCCTTTCCAGGTCCCTCCTCTGTCCCCAAGCCTCTTAGCTGCCTCCCTCCCCTCCTGAGAGGCCAGGGCTTGTGTCACCCTCTGCCTGGGCACGCTCTGCCTGGTGTCCCGGGGAAGAGGGGTGTGGAAAGTCCCCGAGGTGGTCCACGAGGAGCAGGGCAGGGTGGCCTCCAAGCCACCTCCTGGTCACAGATGGGGAGTTTCCCTGGCAGAAGGCACCTGCCCAGGGTCTCTGGGCCAGCTTGGGGCTGCAGCATGGGAAGGTGTCAAAAGGGACAGCAGGGATCCAGAGACCTGGGTGGGCAGGAATCCAGACCCCTCCACTGCGCCTCCTGTCTCTGGGTCTGTCTCCTCCTGGGGTCCCTGACTGTGACATTGAGGGAGGGCTGATGGCCCTGGTGGGCAGAGAGCATCCTGAGTATGTTGGGATCTGACCCCCCCAGTGAACAGCATTGACCATCTGGGCACCCTCTGCTGCCCAGCCCTGTCAGCTCATCCAGTAGCTGGGGACACGTTTATGGGGCCACCAGGCCTCAGCAGGTGAGGGAGAGACCTGAAGACAGCAAGGTGGAGCAGGCAGGCCACTGAATTCCACCTGACAGCTGTCCTGTGATGAGTACATTCTTTCCATCAAGTGAGCAAACAGGATCAGAGAGGCAGAGCAACTTACCTGGGGTTGTTCAGCAATTGATTGGCAAAGCTGGAATTCTTTTTTTTTCCTAATATATTTTAAATATACTAAATATATATTTTAATGGAGCAAAGGGAAAATATGTGTGTAAGTTCCAAGCTATTTGACAAAGAGATTGTAAAAAATGTGTATATATATATATATATATATATATATATTTTTTTTTTTTTTTTTTGGTACCAGGGACTGAACCCAGAGGTGCTTAACCACTAAGCCACACCCCCAGCCCTTTTGATTTTTTTTTTTTTTTTTTTGAGACAGGGTCTTGCTAAGTCACTGAGGCTGGCCTCAACTTTATGATCCTCCTGCCTCGGCCTCCTGAGTGGCTGGGATGACAGGCATGCAGCACCATGTGGGGCTAGAAATGCATTTTTAATTAAATTCAGTAACGAGGAGCTGGGCTTTTGGAGGGGCATGCTGGTTCCTCTGGGGTCTGAAGAGGGGTAGATAGCCCCAACAACACTAGGAGGTCAAGTGAGAGAGGGTGGCCCGGGGCTGGAGTCCACCTTGCCCTGGGGTACCCAGGCAGGCTCCCTGGAGGAGGGGGATCTTGGAGGCAGACCCTGGGGATCTGGGGGAGCAGCATCAGGGATGTGGAGGCTGGGAGTGGTTCTGGGGAGCAGCTGGGGCTGGCTGTGGGGAGAGGAGGGGCCGGGCATGTCTGGGCAGGATCCAGGCTCCCACCCCAGGGCCAGGGGATCAGGCCTTGCCCAGCCCATCACAGCACAGGGTCTGGGTGGGTTCCCACTCCGTCACCCAGGCCAGGGTCCTTGGCCAAATGATCTGCACCCTCGTGCCCTCCGTCTTCACTGGTTATGGGGGTAAGAGTCCATGTGCAGGACGGGGTGACAGCCCCAGGGCACAGTGTCAGTGGCTCGGTGCCCTGGCGAGGTACCCATCTGGGCGTTAGCTGGCAGGAGTGTTATCAGATGTCCCCATAAGTCACACAGCGCCACCTCCCAAGCTACAGGTGAGCCGACGGACTGGCTCCTGGGCCCCTCAGACCCCAGGATCTCTGTCCCCACCCACTGAGGCTCACTGAAGAGCTCTGCGGCTTTACTATATATGATCAAACTCACTCGCCATTACATTCATGCTCAATAAACACATTTTAAGTAGCAGGTTCCAGTGTATCTTTAAAGGCTGATTTGCATTCTGCTGTCTTTTCTGGTTTTCCCTTCAGTACTCCAACACAGGCAGCAGGAGGGAACACGTCAAGGTCACCTCTGAGCCCCAGCCAGGCTTCCTGGAGCGGCTGAGCGAGACTTCGGGGGGCATGTTCGTGGGGCTCATCACCTTCCTCCTCTCTTTCTACTTAATTTTCACCAATGAGGTACAATGGCTCGTGTCCCCGTGGATACAGCGAATCAGGGAACAGGGACTATAAATCCAGAGGCTGCATTTGGCAATAAAGGACCTCGGTTTTTATAAAAGAGAGAGAAGAATACTGAACAAATCCAAATTCATTTTGTGGTGACCTACCTCCCCCTGGTGTAGGCACGACTCCTGAAAAGCCTGCTTCAGGCATGGCTGGATCCAGGCGTTCGTGCGGGGTCACCCGACTCTGCGTTCCTTCAGCCCTTCCCTGTGTTTCTGGGCTGTGGCATCTCTCTTGGGCAAGGCCCTCCTTTGGCAGGCAGAGGTGGCTCAGCAGTTCCAGTTTCACGTCCAAGTAGCTCAGAGATCCCAGAGCAAGAAAAAAACAAAAAAAGGAACCAAGTGTTTCTACAGCAATTCTGCAGAAGTTGCAGAAGGATCGCTCAGAGTCCGGGTTTGGGTGTCAGGCCTCTGAGCCAGTGCCTGAGGCCAGGGTCAGAAAGGCCTGTGGGGACCACAGGGACCAGGAGAGGACGGGGCGGAGAAAGGGGAGGGGAGTCCAGGCAGACAGGGAGGCCACTGAGCCCACGGGAGGCCGAGAGCCGGGGCTGAAGGGAACCCGCGGGTGGCGGGAGAGGGGAGCCTGGGCGCACAGGGCCTGGCCCAGTCCCGCGGCCTCCGTCCCAGCAGGGAAGTGGGTCGCCCTGAGGTGACGTCCCCTGCTGTCCCCTGCAGGGCCGGGCGCTGAAGACGGCCACCTCGCTGGCGGAGGGGCTGTCCCTCGTGGTGTCCCCCGAGAGCATCCACGTGGTGGCCCCTGAGAACGAGGGGAGGCTGGTGCACATCGTGGGGGCCCTGCGCACATCCAAGGTAGGACCTGCCGCAGACTCAGCGGTGGGCCCTGGGGGGTGACAGACACGGGGTGACCCCCAGCGCCACCTCTCGGCCGCCGTGCGCACTCCTGGCATGGGACTGGGCTGACCGCTTGGCACAGTGCCTGGCGCGTGGTAGGAAGGTCACACACAGGTGCTCTCGCGGTGACTGTCCGCATGGAACGCAACGACTCTGGTTGTCAGAGCTCTGCTGACATATGTCTAATTTCTTTTCGTACTGGGGATTGAACCCAGGTCACATAACCACTAAGCCCCCCCAGCCCTTTCTATTTGGAGACAGGGCCTCCCTAAGTGGCTGAGGCTGGCCTCGACCTTGCCATCCTCCTGCCTCAGCCTCCAGAGTCACTGGGGTTACAGACGTGCACCGCCCACCGCAGCTGGGCTGTTATTTGAGTGTTGGCGTGACACAGTGGGGCCTGCAGCCTGACCTTGGGCATTAAGGGTTAAGGACTGGGGACACCCAGGCACGGAGGTGCATGCCCTGCAGTTTGGGAGGCTGAGGGAGGAGGATCGTGAACTCGAAGCCAGCTAATTCAGCCACTTAGCAAGGCTCTCAGCCACTCCCTGAGACCCTGTCTCTAAATTAAAAAAAAACACAAAATAGGCTGGGGAGGGGGCTCAGTGGCTGAGTGCCCCCAAGTTCAACCCCTGGTGTCCCCCCCAAAATATCCAAGAGTTAAGAACTGGACAGGCAGCTCCACTTGACGCCCCCACCTGTCCCCGTTTCCCACCTCCTCCCAGCCCACCTCCCCGAGCCGGGGTTTCAGGGGGATGTGAGGGTCACCTGTATTTTTCTGGTCCCTTGACTCTCTTCTGAAGCTCTTGTCTGATCCCAACTACGGGGTCCACCTTCCGGCCGTGAAACTGCGCAGACACGTGGAGATGTACCAGTGGGTGGAGACGGAGGAGTCCAGGTGAGGAGCCCGGCAAAGGAGGTGCAGGCACCCAGACAAAGTGCAGCGGCTTTTGTTTTTTAGGGGTGCCAGGGATTCAACCCAGGGCCCTCAACCCGTGAGCCCCCTC